TAGCAGTTAAAATTGAAGGCAATGAGTCAGCACTATCGATAAGTCTCACCGTTTTAGGAGAGGGAGAGCATTTACTTGCGTCTCTTAGGCGTCTCTTAGAGGCAGCAGGGGAAACAGGTGACATACCTTTTAAACTGCAACAACAGCTTACCAAGCAGGTATAGAAAATTGAAATTAAGCGAAAACGCTGATGTCCAAATGTAAATTTGCTTTAGTTCAGCACAGGTGAAACGCCAGCACACAGGCAGGCGGAGTATATTACTATCCGTATTAAGTACACAAAAATACCGCGATAACTAATGCCGAAACAGAGCAAACACTTTACACGTCCGTCACGTAATGTAATGTAATCCTTTTTTTAAATTTAAAAATTTTGGTATTACTGCAGGGAGGCGGCAACCCTGTTGATTTGCTATTTGCACTTGCAGAAATTAACACGGCTATATGCCAACAGAAGGCGCTATTGCTTCTTACAGCTGTTAAACACTGACTTGCAAAATTAGCGCAGCTGAAACGCCAACAGATGGCGCTGTTGATTCTTACAGAAGAAATTTACAACCAAAACAAATGCTTTTGACTATGCGCTAAAGTTTATTGCACTAGCAAGATCACCTCGCCTCAGCGGAACGCAGAGCAGCAACAGGTAGATGCTGCAACAATTTGACGATCCCAGTCACAGTCGACTCTAGCTTCCACTCCCACCTTTACAGTCGGCGATCCTCAACAGATGATAGGCCCTCCAACGGCAGCAACTAATGCAGACGAAATATGTATTTATTAACTCACTTGGCAGTCGAACTCGATGCGTCAGCGTTGAAACACCTGTTGGTCCGTTGAATTGATACCACACCAACTTTTTATATATTGGTAAACTATTTATTTGAACACCTTTAAAGAGAGCTTATTGTTTTTTTTTTAATCAAACTAAAAAAACAAAGGAATTACATACAAAGAGTCGTATGCATAAAAACTAAGCAATTGCATTTTCTTAAAGATGCCTACCTTTAACTTAAATTTATTTGAACAAATTGAATAAAAGGTCTGAACTTTTAAGAATAAGCATTTTTTTAGGTTTTATGCATATGGCCGAATAAACATGGCCACACATAAAAAAACCAGACCCACATTGCATATGGGTTAATAAAAGTTGATTTGCAATTGTTAACGACCAGTGTTGCCGACAATCATTTTTAGTGGGAGCCAAATTCCTTTAAAAAAAAGGGCTAAAAAAGAGCTAAAACAAGTCGTTGTGGCTAAAAATGGTAGCTAAAATTTTTTGCTACATATACATATATTTTCAATAAGAAATGGCATAGAAAGACAGTGAACTATGGAAAAAAGCTAATATTGTATCCAACCAAAAACCTTTTTGTATAAAAGGGGAAATATACGACACCAGATTGCTGGCTTCATCAAGTGATTGTACCATCAGGCTCTAAGCATATAACTTACTGGTACAATATTTATTTCTTTACAAATGAGGTCGACGAAAGATCGAAATGATTAGAGCGAAATTTTATAATTTTTCTACAATTTTGTTAAACATTGTTTTTTTTTTTATTCACAACTGCAATATCGGGAACTTAATCTTCCACAAACATGGCTTTGACTTATATAGAGCAAGAAATTTCCACCAAAATACTTTTTACTTAGAAAGTTTAGCTAATTTCACCGCCCACGACACCAACATGCTGGTACAATCATAAAATTTTCGAATAGTTTTTGAAGTTGCACCAGCAGCTGGTACAATCACACCACAAGAACACACACGGTCAAATGACTTGATGGGTCATTTAACAAGTTAAGTATATTAAGGGCCTTAAACTTATCTATTTTAAACTATAGTTAAATCGTTAATAGATAAGTTAACAGCCCTAAAACTTTTGCGGTATGTATGTATAAAAACGTAAGGAATATACAATACATATATGTATATATATCAGTATTTCTTAGTTTAAAAATTCATCTCTTGACTACATACATAAACGAAAAAAAATTAGTTCAAATTAAGANCAATTTGACGATCCCAGTCACAGTCGACTCTAGCTTCCACTCCCACCTTTACAGTCGGCGATCCTCAACAGATGATAGGCCCTCCAACGGCAGCAACTAATGCTGACGAAATATGTATTTATTAACTCACTTGGCAGTCGAACTCGATGCGTCAGCGTTGAAACACCTGTTGGTCCGTTGAATTGATACCACACCAACTTTTTATATATTGGTAAACTATTTATTTGAACACCTTTAAAGAGAGCTTATTGTTTTTTTTTTAATCAAACTAAAAAAACAAAGGAATTACATACAAAGAGTCGTATGCATAAAAACTAAGCAATTGCATTTTCTTAAAGATGCCTACCTTTAACTTAAATTTATTTGAACAAATTGAATAAAAGGTCTGAACTTTTAAGAATAAGCATTTTTTTAGGTTTTATGCATATGGCCGAATAAACATGGCCACACATAAAAAAACCAGACCCACATTGCATATGGGTTAATAAAAGTTGATTTGCAATTGTTAACGACCAGTGTTGCCGACAATCATTTTTAGTGGGAGCCAAATTCCTTTAAAAAAAAGGGCTAAAAAAGAGCTAAAACAAGTCGTTGTGGCTAAAAATGGTAGCTAAAATTTTTTGCTACATATACATATATTTTCAATAAGAAATGGCATAGAAAGACAGTGAACTATGGAAAAAAGCTAATATTGTATCCAACCAAAAACCTTTTTGTATAAAAGGGGAAATATACGACACCAGATTGCTGGCTTCATCAAGTGATTGTACCATCAGGCTCTAAGCATATAACTTACTGGTACAATATTTATTTCTTTACAAATGAGGTCGACGAAAGATCGAAATGATTAGAGCGAAATTTTATAATTTTTCTACAATTTTGTTAAACATTGTTTTTTTTTTTATTCACAACTGCAATATCGGGAACTTAATCTTCCACAAACATGGCTTTGACTTATATAGAGCAAGAAATTTCCACCAAAATACTTTTTACTTAGAAAGTTTAGCTAATTTCACCGCCCACGACACCAACATGCTGGTACAATCATAAAATTTTCGAATAGTTTTTGAAGTTGCACCAGCAGCTGGTACAATCACACCACAAGAACACACACGGTCAAATGACTTGATGGGTCATTTAACAAGTTAAGTATATTAAGGGCCTTAAACGTATCTATTTTAAACTATAGTTAAATCGTTAATAGATAAGTTAACAGCCCTAAAACTTTTGCGGTATGTATGTATAAAAACGTAAGGAATATACAATACATATATGTATATATATCAGTATTTCTTAGTTTAAAAATTCATCTCTTGACTACATACATAAACGAAAAAAAATTAGTTCAAATTAAGAATATACAACTTTTTCATGCCAAGTATGAATAAATTATCCAAAGAGCTAAAAAAGGGCTAGGGGCAATTTTAAATTTATGTGGCCCAAAAAATTATGTGGTAGCTAAATCTAGCCACCAAAGGGCTAAAACGGCAACACTGTTAACGACAATTTAAAATTACAATTTAAAACACAACTGCTTTTAAATAGTTGAACCCCACTGGTTTGAAGTTTTTGAAGATTATGATCCAGTTTTAAAGTAGCTTGGTACTTATTTTATTATCGGTGTACCGGTTCCGAAGGAAGCTTGATAATTTTTCTGGTAGTTGGTAAACTGCAATCAGCTGTTCGATATTTATTCAATTATAAATCCGCCCGCCGCCGAAAGGCATAACGCATATGAGTAAGTAAAATTCCTTAAATTTCTGCTACAATAATTTTTTTTTTAGGAAAAAAGCTACGAATCCGCTGTTAATAAACATAGTTTACCAGACTAACAAAAGAAACCTGAAAAGGACGTTGATACAATTACCGAGTGTCAACCAGCAATTTAACAAAACTACCAAAATGGATGTGAAGACCCTTAGTATAACATTAGCATTTAAAAACTGATAGATCATTTTGACTAAAAAAATTCCCTCTCCTACTTTCTGTCGCTTTCAAATCAGTGTCAGCAGTGCAAATTAACGTTGATACAATTACCGAGTGTCAACCAGCAATTTAACAAAACTACCAAAATGGATGTGAAGACCCTTAGTATAACATTAGCATTTAAAAACTGATAGATCATTTTGACTAAAAAAATTCCCTCTCCTACTTTCTGTCGCTTTCAAATCAGTGTCAGCAGTGCAAATTAACTATTTGGTTAAAATTGTAGAACAAATTTAATATAACTAAAAGCACGGTTGTAGAAAAAAACTAGATAAATGCATGGTTGTATTTTGGATTGCGTTTTCCTGTAACAAATTTTTTACATATGTACATACATATGTAATTTAGTGGAAAAACTAAAATAAAAAATCGTCATTGTGGGGGAAAAATCGTCAAATCGTCGTTGAGCTAAAAAACGTCAAAATGAAATGCCGAAATCGTCAATTCGGCAACGCTGGTTTTAACTCTTCAATAAGCTCATAATAAACTTTATGCAATATAAATTCCTTTGTAGGGCTAGGTATAACTCAATTATTATAATAACACGTAATTTTTAGGCAAAAAACACAACCGACTTCAATTCTCATATACAAATTTAGAAGTACCGTTAATTTCTTCATGATCCAATGATCGGATCTAAACCTCCTCTTTGTTTTTTGAAGTCGGTTAAAAAGAGAATAATTAATGAGGTAAATTATTATAAATTTTATCCATAACAAAAAAATCTCATAAAGGAATTTCGATTTTCGATTAAATATTTTCATATTAAAAATTAGTTGGAATTTAGAGAAGCCAAATAACATAAGATAACATAAACCTAACCCAGGCTGTAATATTGTAAGCTATGAGGGCTTAAAACTTAACCATTAGGACTTTATTTGATGCTATTAATACTACTTTACGCACGACTGTATTCACTAAGACTCGTGGCGCACTCAGCTGTTGATTAATTTGTTTGCAATGATGTGGAAAAGAATATAAAGCTTATCGCCCGCACTTACCATTTCGATTTTCGCTATCCGCTGGCTTCATTTGAATAGGATGATACATCTGTAACAAAAAGTAATATATTATTATTCATCATCGATTAACTAAAAAAACGTTGCTCCAAAAACGGAAAATAGGGAAGTTTTATTATAATTAACCGCCCGACCTTGTGTGTTCCTTGATAACTTATACTGGATCACAAATTTTAGTTTGGTTTTTGTTCTCCAGGCGGCACTATCCAATTTCTATGTAGAATTGCTCGGTGATCCCGAAAATCGAGTTCATTTTTTTTTCTATGGATACGTTTTCGAGATATTTGCAATTTACCGTTATTCAGCTTAAAACAAATAAAATAGTATAAAAAAAATATTTTTTAAAAACAAGCTTTTATTTAACCTGTACAATCAAAGGAATAAAATGAAGTAGTGTAACAAAAGATTTTTTAGCAAGAAAATTTTGTCAAAACTGCACTAAAATGAATAAAATAAAATAAGTTAAGATCTCGCTAAAGTTACTAAAAGCCATTTAGTGAAAGGAGTTATTCAAACTCTAATGAAAATTACTAACAATTTGTACTAATTTACTTCGTTTTTAAAAAAGCTTGTCGCGCGAATAGCAAACCGGCATTTAAATATCTGCATACATACATATACATACATACCTAACCAATTATGCATGTACGCTGAATTCGCCGACAAGCTTTTTTAAAAACGAAGTAAATTAGTACAAATTGTTAGTAATTTTCATTAGAGTTTGAATAACTCCTTTCACTAAATGGCTTTTAGTAGCTTTAACGAGACCTTAACTTATTTTATTTTATACATTAGTGCAGTTTTGACAAAATTTTCTTGCTAAAAAATCTTTTGTTACACTACTTCATTTTGTTCCTTTGATTGTACAGGTTAAATAAAAGCTTGTTTTTTAAAAATATTTTTTTTACATTAATTTATTTTATAATTTTTAGTCCTTTTATAAAAGCGTTGTATATTAAAAAGTGTTATTTTTTTATGTACACAATTTTGCAATAGATATTAAAATAATTCAACTTGCAATGAAAGAGAACAGAAGACTTGGCAAGCAAAATGTTGTTTGCTTACGTTTTGTATAAACATACATATGTACATATAGCAGCAGTTAATTTTATTTAAAGAAATGGCGTGTCGTCCATTTCCGCTGTAGCAAGGCATATATTAAGGCGCAATAATTAACTTCTTCTGGCGGGGCGACATCTGGAGTCTTTTAATTGTATCTCCTTGATATGATGCCCACAACGAGGTTCATATCTAGACTAGGAATAGCTTTGCTACACTACCGCCGCACAGTGTAAGATTTAACCCATCTAGCTACTTTTAATTCTGTAATTCGAAAACTATTGAAGATAGATTCATGAAATTTTGCACAAGGTACGTTATAAGATAGGCGAAGCTTTTTACAAAAAATTGGTAATTTATAGTTACTGTTACGCCACCCTATTATATAACTGCAATTTTTTAAAATACAAAAACTGAAATATTTAGCTAACTACAAAGGCTAAAATGCCCAAAATTTATATTTAGAATTTCCCTATAACAAGGAATTCTAAACTGATAGAAATGGACTTAAAAATAAATATATTTTTTTAATTATGGGCGTGGAAAATATTGATAAAAAAGTAAAGTTGGGTCAACAAAATTCCGTTATAAGTTCAATATTTCTTGCTCTATTTACAAAAATGGGATACCATTGGAAATGTAATGAATCAGACTTTCTCTATTCAAAGCAAAAATACAAGAATTTGTCTCGGTCGAGATAAAATGCAAATGAATTACTCGAAGAAAATGAAATTCCCAGTAGGCCAGAAAAAAGAAAATTTCATCAAAACCTGCACTTTCCAGCAGCTAAAATTGTGTTGTTTAAAGTCTAAGAGCAGTGGCAAATAAACTGAGATACAAACTTTATCGAATAGTGGTGGATAACGAGTTTTCGGGTCTAATAAATATAATAATTTGCTAAAAATAAGTCTAAGTCAACATCGTTTTACTTTAACATGAAATACTCAGTCCTAGTTTACTAAATTATCAAAAATGTAAATTCATTAAAAAGATCATACCTAAAAAAATAAGACCAAAATGATATTTTAGCAATTGTAGCATAAATCACATAACACCGACAAATTAAACATTGAGATTCAGTTTTAAATATACAAGTTTAAATATTATTGCGCTAAGTAATTTTCCAAATCAAACCCCGTCCCGCCATACACTTTGATTTAAACTTTTTAGTTGTTATTGTTTCGTCTTTATCAGGCATTTCTAAAAACATTCTTGACGTTGTTTTGAAATTTGGCGACATAAAATAATGTAATTAATCTTTTCTAGAATATGGAAATGATACACTGTGCGCCGCGGCGCGCCGGCAGCTTTAACAATTTTATAGTGGTTTTACGTTCTTTGGCAAATTACGCTCTGTTAGCCATAAATCTTTGAATCAAGACCCCTGGACCATATGGGGAATTCATTTATATTTTAAATTGCATTGTCATCGTGATTGGAACTATGCTGAAAATTTCAAGTCTCTAACTTGTCGGGAAGTCAGTTTAAAATCGATTGGAAATTTCCGCTTCACTTTCCGGTAGGAGTGATTGTTTTTGACAAATTAATTAATCATTCCAGTTTTTTTTTATTAAAAAATGGAAGAAATCAAACTTTAACAGAAGAAAAATTAAAAAAATAGCAGGTTCTGTGCCAAATTTTTGCACTTGTGCCAAAGCCTGTTCTGTTACAAAAAAACCAAGCTACTAATGAAGAAAAGCGATGGATAAATAAAGAAATAATGAGTGGCCAAATGAAAATTCGCAAAAACTTTTTGTATGAAATATGAGCAGAAAGCGTGTTATTCAATGTACGTGGTGTATGAGTAACTTTCTTTCCTGCTCATTTTTCTTACAAAAAATCTTTGCGTATTTTCATTTGACCACGCATTAGTTCTTTATTTATCCCTCGCTTTCCTTCATTAGTAACTAGATTTTTTTTGTAGCAGAACAGGCTTTAGTACAAATCCAAAAATTTGGCACAGAACCTGTTATTTTTTAAATTTTTCTTCTGTGAAAATTAGACTTTTTTCATTTTTTGTATTAATTAATTAATTTGCCAGAAACTGTCAGCCCTATCGGAAAGTGATGTATAAACGTTTTATGGAGAATTTCATTACCTTTGATTTGACGTATCTCATTTTGAGATTATTGAATTGGTTTGTAAGATATGCGTGATTATCTGGAACCACTTTGTGTTTTAAGCTGAATAACGGTAAATTGTAAATATCTCAAAAACGTATCCATAGAAATAAATTATCTCGATTTTCGGAACCACCGACCAATTCTACATAGGATTTAGATAGTGGCATCCATTGAACATTTTTGCTGTAAACCAGAGTTATTTGTACCACGATTTTTGTCAAGTAAAAGCGCTTTTCGCATTCTGTATCAATATTTATAAAATAAAAAACTGTGCCATTTAAACATGAGGTGAACAGATTTTAGTTTGATGTTTATTACACGAAATTTGATTTCGTTTATTTAAGCCTATGATTAAAATAACGTTTCATACTAAATATAAAATTCTGCTTAATACCCCTCTCTGGCGATCTAATAATAATTATTTAGGAACAGAAATCATTTACGGGTTTAGTTCAACAATGAAATGTATTAATTTTTTTAACCGACTCACAGTGGGGTTATTGATGTCGATATTGCGTATTAATTCAAAAAATGGATTTCAAAATACAAAGAAGGCTTTAGTACCAAATGAAAGTAGATAAAATTCTACATCACTATGTCATAAAATATTTGCCAAAAAATTTACCGTTTTCTTGCAATATACTCTTAAAGTCTTCACTTTTTCCTTTGAGTGTGCCCAAAGTGAAAAACGTGATTTTATATTTAAAATTTCCAAGCTATAACTGAGTTTTCTTTAAAGATATATCAAAAACGGCAGTGGAACTTTCTTGTTCAGGTATTTAGTTGTCAGAAAAAGCTCTAGAAGTGCAACAGAAATAAATAAAATTATAGTTTAAAACCCTAAAACCTCCGTATTATAATTGCCATTCGTACTGTCATCAGGTATGTAACTTGAGAATAGAAATCGCTGCATCTTTTAGGCGCATCAATATTACATAGTTACATCCCGAGCTAATAAGAGGAAGGTAAAAAAAAGACGAATGAAGTTATATTCAATAGACTTTTGATTAGTTCCGACCCTTTTGTATCAAGTATGAGAAAACTACCCAAAAAAAAAAAATTGCAGGATTTGCCGAAAGAAACACAACAGTTGTTAATTATGCAGCCTTAGAGCGATGTTGAAGATGTTGATAGTGATGATGACGCAAGCTAATATGATGATTATTTTTATTAAAGGTTATATATTCTAAATTACTCTCTATGCTTAACATGTAGATAATTGTTGAAGAGAAAATCTGTACAATTCGTATTCATTATCATATAACGAAATTACCTAAAAAAGTGATGATGGGGTGATTGATGTTGATGATGAAAATAGTAATGAAGATAATGATGAGGATAATTATTATAATGAAAGAAGTGGTGGTTAACTTGTAATTAATGATGATTAGGATTTTAACAAATTATCATTAAAAATAAACATTATTTATGGGATTAGCAACTAAATTTTAACTTTTCTCGCTCTTTGGTAACGCCATAAAAACCTACATAAAAACAAAATTTCCACTAAACTATTTTCGGATTTTTCTTTTCTTTACTTCACTTGGTGCTACTTATACAAATACATCAAAATATTTAAAATTATTATATATGATTTCAACTACATATCGATGGCTGAGTGGAAGATCGACCTACATATCTCGGCAGCCAGTTCGAAAACGCCCTATCTCAGAAAATTTTTCAACAACGCCCTATTTCAGAATTTGATTGAAGAACGCCCTATTTCAAAGTTTGATTGAAAAAGGCTCTATTTTAACTGCCGATTCAAAAACGCCCTATCCCAGCACATTTTCAATGTATTTTCGTTTGAGATAGGGCAGCTGAGCTAGGGCGTTCTTAACCCAAATTC